AGAGACTCATTGATAATGACTTATCAAATGGTTTTCTCATCAAATCATATCAATTAACAGTTAATTGAAGCCAATTATTGAGACAACTATTTCTTTCTGCGAGGAAATAACTTTTGGGCCAAAGTTTAAATTAAATTAGAAATTACTACAAATTCAATACATTTCTAACGACATCTGTATTCACGCTATAAATCATTGAAAACCTTATGAAAAAATAATGCATTTTTATAATTAACTAAATTAATGTATATTTTATAATTAAAATCTATTTAATACTAATTTAACTAAATATCAGATGAAATATTAATAAATTTTACTAAATTATAACTAATTATTAACAGTAATACACAAACAACGTGTCATTAAATTTAATTTAAACGCCGACACAGTGTTTGTGAATTGCCTTCAATTAAAAGGCAGCAAAAAATGAGACAATTTTTGAAAACATATTTTGTTTTGATTTTTTGAAAAAACAATTTATGGCTTAAAAAGTGAATGAATTGAATGAATGAATGATTTAATGGTTTAAATAACTAATTGTTTTGCCTATTAATGGATCCCAAAGACAACAAGAGATTACTGATTGTGTCCTCAAATGACTCGACGACTGGTCAGAGAGTTGTCGATGAAATTGATAACCATTTAAAAGACATCAAATTTAACGCAAGTCTTGTTTTGTTAATTGTTTTGATGATTAAAAAGTCTCATTTGATCCACAGATTACTGAAGACGTGGTCTATAAATTATGTCACAAAATCACTTTGGAATCGCTTCCAGAGGACGAACAGCTGATCCAATTCAAGACAGTTGTCATTATCGGCGCCGATCTCTATCTCTACCAACAGTTTAACACAAGAGTCCGAAACAATGGATCCAATGATAACATAAGAGTATGTGTTTTGTTTCAAAATATAGATACAATTCAAACCATATATTGCTTTGTTTTTTTTGTAAATTTAGTTAATCTTTGCGAACATGAGTCCAATGTTTGGCTATTTGTTTACCGATTTTGGACCAAATTATAGACATTTAACATTTGATGAGTACTATAAGACATCGGGTGATGACATACATGTCTTGGATAAAGTGAAACAATGCAGAGATGGGTACAGTTATGAGACCTACAAACTCTTGAGAGCCAAATTACTTCACAGGTTTTGTTTCATGAAATCCATTATTTCTGGTTTCATTTGCGGACAACTCATTGATAATTGTTGTAAACAATTGAAACAATTGCTTACATATGAAATAGAGCCCATACTTCTTGAGCATCGGTTTGGAACCACTGAACCAATTGTTATCATAGGAGTGGGTTCTTTGGGTTTTTGTATTGTAAAACATTTGGTCAAAAGTGGTGCCAAAAATTTAGTTCTTATTGATTCGGATTTCGTTCATAAATACAATATAAGACTTAATCTGTTCCGCGAACACCATATTGGGCTCAAGAAGTGTGATGTCGTCAAAGACTTTGCGCTTAGAGTTAATAAAGACATTACTGTTGAGATTCACTGTCGAAGAATACAAGAGATGAGCCATCATTTGTTTGATGACTTGCGTCTGAAGAAAGGTCTCATAATTAGTTGTGTCGACTCCACAGAAACCAAACGCTTTATAAACAAAGTCTGTGTTAATCATTGTCTGCCATTCATTGATGTCGGAATCGATGGTCACATGTTTCACATTCAGCCAATTGTTCCGCATTTAACTGAATCTTATACCAAATATTCTGATTCTTCAGACCCAACAAAGTCTGTGTTAATCATTGTCTGCCATTCATTGATGTCGGAATCGATGGTCACATGTTTCACATTCAGCCAATTGTTCCGCATTTAACTGAATCTTATACCAAATATTCTGATTCTTCAGACCCAGAGTACCCGCTCTGTGTCCTCAAGTCATTCCCGCAAACCATTGAACACTGTGTCGAGTGGTCTAAGACTAAGGTTTGGATCAGATTTGTGTTATATTTATTTCATACTTATATAAACTTTGTTTAATTTGTTCTTCAGTTTAATAATTGGTTTAATAGACGACCGAAAAGAGCCAACGATTGGACGGAATGTCTTCGCGTCTCGCGAATGACTTTTGAGAAGTTTTTTAATCAAAAACCAAAACAATTGTTATTTGTTTTGCCGTCGAATCACAAGAGTGAAGACGGATCAGACTTCTGGTCCGACAAACGTATACCACATCCGATTGTCTTTGATATAACCAACGATTCGCACAAAACATTTCTTACTTCTTGCGCACAACTTATCGCTAGAGTTAATGGCATTCAAATGACAGACAATACAGTCGTTTGCGATGCCATAAACTCGTTGGAAATTCCAGAGTTTGTCCCAAACAAAGATAAAACTATTATTACTGATCCGTCGGTTATAAATCCCGTGAAGAATACTAACTGTGATATCACTTCAGAAAATGAAACATTAAAACCAATTGTTTATTTCAAAGATAGTGAACAAGATTTGTTGTTTATATCGACTTTAGCTGTGAGTCTAATTTTAAACCAAATTAAAACCTAAATTGTATTTTATGTCCAGAATTGTAGGGCAGAGATGTATGGCATCGAAAAGGTGTCAATTGAGAAGATTTACCACATTTACAATCAAAGCATTCATTGTTTGAATTCAACGATATTCACCGCTTCGGCTATGGTTTGTAAATTGTTTGATTAGTAATTAATTAATTAAATTTTATATTGTATTTCTAGGTTTCAATTGAATTAATAAAATTGTTTCAAATGAACGGCAAATATAAATTGAATAAGTTGCAAAATGTCAATCATTTTTACAATTTGTGTGAATTTGAATGTAATGTTTTGTCGGCGCCTTTGAAACTAATGTCAACAAAACTCTCGGATACCTATAGTTTTACAGAATGGGATCAATTGGTGATCAATGAATCGGATGGTGTGTCCACTCTTAAGGAGTTACTCAATGAACTCGAAGCGCGAACGCAATGTATTTGTTTAGGACTTGTGTTGAATGAGACAAAGTCTATATATTTGCCACAACTCTTCCCGCATCACAACAAACGCAGGAAACAAAACATTAGAGATCTTATCGTTAATTATTACAACACTATTCCAGAGTTTGTCATTTTTAACACTACTTTTCAGACAAAATTGGATGAAATTTTAGGGCCAAATGTGAAATTTATATTTAAATAATTATATTTCAATGTATTTCAAAGATTATATTTATATAATAAAAGAATTAATTTAAAAATTGTGTTTAAACTGATATAAACTTTTTTATAATAACTATGAAGTATGAAAAATGGATTCTTCAACAACTTGTATAATGTTGCCCAACACTAGTTTAGGTTCTAGAATTGATTCAATATGTTATTTACATGAATTAAAGTTACGGAATAAATTTATTAGAATATTAATTAACACTTGTTATAATAAAATATAACTTTTAGCTCATATTAAACACTTAAACGAGTCGTTGAAAGTCTAAAACAATTTTCTTTAAATATAAAAGCTTTCAAAACATTTGTTTTTCACTTTAAATTAGTTTCAGTAATTGTATATAATATTAATTACTATAAAATAAATTCTGGCAAAAAAGTTATTAAAGTTTATTTCATTCACGTTTTGCTAAATCTGTGCACAAAATGAAACCAATGATAAGTCCAATGAATCCAAAAATTGTAACATTTTTCTTACTTTTAAATAGTGTTATATTAACTATAGTTTTGCTCTATTCTTATGATAATAATAATAGAATTTTTCAATTAAATGAAATCTATATACGAAATACATTTGTAAATTCATTACAAACTGCAAAGCATTTACGGATATTATGTTTAGTGACCGAAACAATAAAGTATAATAAGGATAGGGTTCGGGCGGTGAGGGAAACGTGGGGTAAGAGATGTGATATTCTGTATTTCGTAAGCATTGAAGAAAATGCTGAATTACGACCAGTTGTCGATCAGTGCGATAACGATGATCACGACCCCATTTTGTGCCATGATCAATTGATCATTAAATACGTGGTCAACAAATACAACAATCAATTTGATTGGCTCCTCACAGTCAATGACTTCTCGTACGTTATTACCGATAATTTAAGACATTTGTTGTCCGATTACGACCCAAACGATCGCATTTGGTTTGGATATCCTTTTACCAAAACTATGGTCAATGATCTGAACGTAACTTTAATGAGTAAAAGTATATCTTTTTGCAATTCATTAAATTTCAATTATTAAACAATTATTAATTTGTAATTTTATTCAGAATTAGGTTATGTAAGTGAAAGTAAACCTGATTAAAAATGAATCACTAATTGATTGACAATAATTTGAAACAAAGGCATTGAGTGGAGGAGCTGTTCGTGAATTGATAAATGACTTTTCAAATGATAATAAATGTATGGATTATAATAAGTTAGAGACGGCTTTAGAGCAGTTAGAGTTTGGAAAGTATGATAATTGAACTAAAATAATATTTTATAAACAAATAATAGACTATTGAATACAATAGATGTTTACTTGAATTGAACATAAAATTGATGGATGAGAGAGACGACCTAGGTCGGCATCGATTACTACCATCACATCCAGGCGTTATGCTTAACGTTACGAGCAGTCTTGATAAGCCATTCAAATGGCTAAACAAATATAATTCATCTGAATTTAATCTGGTATTAAATATAATATTTATTAAAATATATTTATATAATTTATTAACAAATAGTATTGTTTAGGGTATGAATTGTTGCAGTACTTCAAGCATATGGTGGCAAACAAAGAGTCATCAAGAGATGTATGTCTTCGAGTTCTTTATGTATTATCTCAATATTGATATTATTTAGTGGCATTTTGTTTGATTGTGTGTGTTAGTTAAATATACTAAATAAACTGTATATTAAATATACTGTATACATTTATTTATTACAATAAACTATTTATTGATTTTGTTGCCAACAAATCCTATAAATTAAAGTTTTATTTTTCTTTTAATTTTAATGAATCGTCAATTCTTTCATTATTTTAATTATGATCACACTTTTTGGTGAATCTTAATGAAATAACAAACATTATTACTATTGTTACGTAATTAACTAAAATCACCAATGTCTTATACCATTTTATAATTAAAAATTTAATTATATTTTTGTTTGCTTTGCAGACAAAGTTTTCAAATCATTAGAAATAGTAGAAATAAAAAAGAAATACTTATTTTTTAAATATATATTTCTGGTAAACAATTCATAATATAATGAGTTTCTTAATTATATTTATAAGTTAATGCATTTCTATAGCAATTATTGCTTTTTTGAAAGATTTACAATTAATGAATGTTTTAAAATGTAATTTTATTGTATGTGCAATAATGATATGTTTTCACATGTCACATAAATTGTTTGTGTGACAAATAAAAACATATCATTATTGCAAATATATACAATAAAATTATATTTTAAACATGTTGTGACAAACATATAAATAATATTTCATTAATATTGAGTTTATTCGTCGCAAGAATTTGAATATATTTGAGTTAAGATGACTTCAATGATAAGCCGTTTGAGATCTATTAAAATACATCCAATATTTTTGATAAAATCTAATGAATCGATTAAATTCACTGATTTAGAAAAATTGTAATGAGAAGGCGGCTATTGGTTGAGGGTTAATGATAACTACTCCCACACCAAGTAATCCAAAGAACCTCGTATAAGAAAGAGTACCAAAAATAACGATTAGTGTACTCGTCATGTGTAACAATTCGCCAATTACAGCAAAAAGTGACCAAAATGTTGACTTATAACTAAACGTCCTATAATTGGTCTTCAATTCTTCCATAGATTTAGACATCTCTTTAACCATTTGCAATGATAGTTTGTTATGTTCAATCAATGTGTCGTCGTTTATTCTGGCCATTAACTCGTCCCATTCTGTCTCATTGTTTACACTTTTTAAGAAAGATTCTGTAAAATTTAACTCATTTGTCATAAGTTCTCGGTCTTTAAATTTATTGGTTAATTTGTCAATGAGAGTGGAGTGAAAGTTGGAGTTGACTAGCTGCGACGAGTCCTCTAATATCTCCGAGAAAGGGCCGTATAAAGACTGTCTGGTCGATGGGACAAACAAATGACAGCCTCTTTTAACGCTGACTACGTGAGCCCAATAGGGGACTTCCCGCTTAACCGGATGTTGACCTTCACAATGCTCAAAGTAATTAGGAATAGTAGCTTGATGCAACATGTACTTGAAACTATTCAATTTTATCGCTCGGTATTCCTCGTTAAATCTCTTTTCAAATTCACAGAATTCTATTATTCCGGTAGTGTTCCAGTCATGGATCGCTTACGTGCACATGCTGGGACTGCGTAATAATTCTGACTCATACGTATAACAAATTTTTTCATCAAATGTTTGAAAACAATTGAAGTTTGCTATGTCCCCTTCTTCGGTAACTTTTCCCGATTTATCGTTAATTAACCATACGAATTGAGGTAACT